CAGCAGTTTTGAGCATCCTACCCGGCCCAGCAAGGATGTGGCCTACGTGGCCCAGCTAGGCTGGGTCCTCATGTGGACCCAGCCCGTGAATTGAGACACAGCCAAAGCCTCACTTGCCTTTTTCTTCTGTCCCTGGTGGTTTTTATTTATTTGTGGTTGGCAAAAAACTTTGTAGTTCATTACCACCAATACCTGATWGGTGTAGATCAGGACAGCCAACTAAAAAAAAACTACCTCCACACAGCTGACATGACTGCTCCTCTATCACCTGACTGCTCAATGTCACGCTGCTCTAAAATGGTCTCGTACTGTGGTATCAACACTTTAATGAGTATGAGTACACGCATGGTACCAGACCAATATTCAAAACTGAAAACCAAATCTGCCAAGAAAGCAAAGCTTTCTAAGAAAAGATGTGCCACGTTTTCATGATCATTATAGGTTAACTGATTGATATTGCTGCCAAAAGTATTTTTGGCCTCTTATTAGAAATAAGCATGTTAGTCTTCTATTTGTATTAGTTTATTAAAAAACACTCCAAAACTGAGTTTTTGTTCTCGCCTTGTGGGTAACGTTATTTAGTTAGTGAGGAGGAAAATTACTGAATGAATGAGTCAAATTTATAAATGGACAAATTAAAAAGCACTGAAGTAAAAGTCCTGAAAAACTTGCATTTGTGTATGAACCATTTGATTTGGGAATGTCTGACATCTGAAAAATCCCTTAAAAATATTGTTAATGTCATCATTACTTGCTTTAAAATTGTTTTCCCCCTGTGTTGTTGTTTTTGTACGTGTGTATCTCACAGCAGTCCTGCTCCAGTCTGAGCCTCATAAACATAAAAGGTACTTCAGGTCAACCTGTGGCTCTCTGTCTACTCAGCCTTCTCCTTCCTAGTAACACGCATCCCAGTAACTGTGCTGTAACCATGTTTGTTCAGGGCGTGTAAGGTTGCTTCTTTTCACATCTGTCCTGAKCTAGAACCTGCATGCTAAATGTGCAGCTAACTGTTGTGCCTCTCCGTGCAGGTCCTGGGTTTCTAAAACAGAAGTTCTTTCTTTAAGTGCTTGCAGTTAAAACATTTATCAAAGTTTATTTAAATTCCTTTTCAGTACATCAAGTTCAGGAAGAGAATACGGTATCTCATGTGTACACAGTGGTTTCCTTCAAGTGTGATGAAACTTGCAACAGAAGGGTTTCACCCCTCCARAGGCTTGGCTGTTTTTCTTTAGAATAACAACAGGGCTGCAGACCATAGAAATAGAAGTGATTTAGTGTTATATTACCTGACTGAGTTCAGCTGACTCGAAGAGTTACTGAACACCCCGGCTCTGGTGTGGATTCATTGTGTATTTGTGTTCAGTTCTTTTGAGACTTTATTTTAGTCGTAACAAACTACACCTCTGTGTTCTGTTGGACAAACATCCTGTGTGTGTGTGTGTGTGTGTGTGTGTGTGT